AAAAAAAAAAATAGGGTAAAGGGAAAAACTGGAAAGGGCAATGAGATTAAGAGAGATTTCCATGTACTCAAAACCAGGTGTGGGACAACCCAACATCCACATGCAAAAAAATAAATCTAGACCCTTACCTCACACCATACATTAAGATTAACTCAAAGTGGGTCACAGAATTAAATGTAAAACTGTAGAAGTATTAGAAGAAAACACAGGAGAAAGTCTTGTACATTTAAGTTAGGCAAAAATTGCTTAGATAAGAAACCAAAAGTAGGATCCATAAAAGAAATCACTACTAAACTGATCTTCATGAAAATATCATTAAAATGTTTGCATTTCAAAAGACACAATGGGTTTGTATTGTTGTGTTGCCTGGCTATAGCAGTGGCTACAGCAAGCACTGACCCTGGGATTATATTGTGCTCCATTCAGTTTGAATAACAACCAGAATTCAGTCCCCTGAGATCATCTATATACTGTTCAACTCCAGAATCAACTGGAGCTTACAAGACTCTAGACATATGTTGTGTATTATTTAACTCCAGAACTGACCAGGGCATGTAATGACCCTGGGTTCACAGGTGTCCTGTCCTGCTCTAACACAGAAATATGGTCTCCCTTAAAAGGGACATACTCTCTATGTAACCCTCAGAGCTTAAGCAGCCATCACAAATAGCAAGTGATGAGTGTGGAAGAGTATCTGAGGAATACACAATCTACATGTTCATTTTCCTTGGCCACCTTTTGAAGTCTTAATCCAAAATCTGGCTTAGCATCTTCATCCAACTGCCCAGAGAACCTGATGTAACCAAATTAAGAAAGACATTCCAATAGCACTGCTGCCCTCTAGTTGTGACAACCCAAAATGCCTCCAGACACTGTCCAACAATCTTGGGCAGACAAAAATCTAAGAGATAGTAGTTTTGAAAAACCTATCAAGACAAAAATTTGCATAGCCTCACAAAGCTGAGATGGAAGGAAAACTCAGTGCTCGGAAGACAGTAAGTTATCTTGCTGAACTGTGACCATAAAGGAGGAAGCAGCAGTTGGAAATGACGCCCACCTCGTCTCACTGTTTACCTGTTTTCTGGAAATTCCTAAAGAAGGCTACTTGAACAATTCATCTCCTGAATGCCCAGCTGGACTATAAGGCTGGGCTTGTGTGCCTGGGGCTGCCCGAGCCCTGCGGGACTTACCCGAACTTTGCAGGTCTGGAAATATTCCCTATGAAGCCAACTAATGGGAAATTCTCCCGAGTAGCTAGTGAATTCGTCTCCTCCCTGTTTCCACCCACCAGAGCTCTGTAAGCAAACCTCCAGAAAAATGTGTAAGCAAAACAAACACTCCCTCCCTCCTCACCACGCCCATCCAAGGGAAACCGGGCAAGGCAGGACACTCCTCCCATCTCTTGGCCAAGACATGCGCCTCTTACCTTCATGCCTTGGACAACTGGAAATCGCCACCCAAGTTGACAGCCCCAGTACACAAGGGGGTTGAGGTGGGAGGGGCGTGGCTGGCCTCGCAGCCTTTAGCTTTGGGAGCTCCTGTACCTTCACCCGGCCACTTCGGAAGCCTCAGAGCGCCCCTTCCCCACGCAACAAAACTCCACGTCTCGCACAGCACGGAGGTTGTGTGGCCTTGGACAGGTCGTGGCCACTCTCTGAGCCAGTCCCTCTGACCCCCACACCAGAAGGCGACCAGCTTTCTCCGCCGCCCGGGGATACTCACGGGGCCTGGGGATGCGCGGCGCACACGCCGTCCCTTGGCGACAGTGGCGATGGCAGCAAGAGCAGAAGCCGGACCAACAGGTCGCCGAGTAGGTCGCCCTTCATTTTTAGGCTCCGTGGGGTCGTTGCACCCGGGGAAGGGGCCAGGACCTGGCCGAGCCACGACCAGGGTCGGAGGGCGGACTTCCCCGCGCCGCCACCCCCGGGGGTCCTTTGTTCGCAGCCCCAGAGCCGTGCACCCGGCGCCATGCGCCCCGCTCCGCGCCCGGCCAGGTTCGGGCAGCCCCGGGCCCCGGACCCGCCCCGCCCGTCCCCCCTGCTGGACACGCCCTCCATGGACGCCTGTTCCGCCCACATCCCGCCCCCACTCTCTGCCCAGATCCGCGGCGCCCCAGTCCGACCCCTCCCACCCCCGACCCCCGCCCCGCACTGTCCCCACGCATTCCTGCCTCCCATCCGCTCCGCACCTCCCCCTACCCTTCCCCTCTCCGGTCTCTCCCTCCCTCTCCATCCCCCCTGTTGGGCCGCCCCCGCACGGTCTCCTCCCTGGCCCGCCTAGTCCCTGGGGTCCTCTGAGCTTCTGCACCTCATTCAACGCCAACCCTGCAAGGACCGCCCCGCGCGGCCCTGGCCTGCACCTGGTACCTAGGGCAGTGCCTGCAGCCCAAGGAGCGGAGAACCCTTTGGGGAAACTGAATCTAGCCAGGGATGAGACCTTCCAGACCCGCTGCTACTGCAACCCCAGACTGCCTAGTCCTCCCCTCTCCCCTCTCCCCATCCTCACCTGACAGGCCCCTTCCCTCCCACTCTGGGCCTCAGGGCCCCCTTTCGCCCCAGCATGCAGGCAGGGAGGGCGGCACCCCCTTTCTTTCTCCCCTCTGTGTGTCTCCACCTCAGCTATGGTTCTGCTGTCCTAGGTCCCTGTGGCAGGAGTCCCCCTTCTATGCCCTACCCTTACACACTCACAGAGCTACTGGCTACTCTCCTAATCCTCAGGGCCCTTATTGAGGCCAAGTCCAAACTCTGGCTTTGATGGCCCTGACCTCAGCCTAGTTCCTTGGACACAGTGTCTCCAACCCACTCCCTGCTTTTGCTTAAACTGTGACTTCCTTCTACCTGCCTCCTTCACCAGTCAACTCTGATACTTCCATGAGATTGGAGAGAAGCTTCCCTTGCTCCCTCCTTGCTCCCAGGTATGTGGGTCCTCTGGGTGCACCTGGGCCCTGTCCACAGGCTTTGGACCAAGCTCTGATCATACAAGTAGCACTGAAACCCGGGCTAGGCAGGGAGGACCCCAGGACCTGATACCACTAAGCGCACAGCCCAGAGAGGATGAAGCAGATGATGGGGTGTGTGGGTCCATCTGTACACTTGCATGGAGGGGCCAGAGTAGGAGGGGTGGTTTAACAAGAGCAGCTTGATGTTGCCCCTGCTCAAAGGGGCAGCTTCCAAGCTCAGTCCAAACCAGCCCTGAGCAGGCTACAAAACTGACCTGGAGGAACACAAAACAAATGCTTAGCAGCAGCATCTAGTACAATTCGTGTTTGCCCTGCCCAGCACCTGCAGACCAACCCTTGCTCCTATATAAGCCCATCTCCACCTCAGCCTATGGGCCAGCCTTCTGCCTCTTCACTGTTCCTACATCCAGCAGGCTTTGGTCACACTGGTCTCCACAGCTGCATGGAGTCCCGGCTACCACCACCATCTCAGGCTAAGGTGGGAGGCATCCTCTCTGCTTGAGATGCTTTACCCTGGCCACCCTCCCCTCCACCTTCAGGGTTAGCTCAGCAGAGCCTTCCTCCCTGAATCATAAGGCCTAAAATTGCAAGGGGTGCCTTGAACAATGTTACTGAGAGCCACTAAATCCTAACCATGAGTCCCCCTGCTCTTGCCAGATATGCCCCCCAACCTGTGGGAGAAGATGCTCTCACTCACCTGGTTTCCACAGCAGCCAGTCCAGCTGCATCTCACATGGCCCTCAGCCTAAGATTTCACTGCCCTGCCAGCTGAGAAATTTTTCAAACAAGCCAATTGCATCCTTTCATGGGAACCAGAGGCCATCTCACCCTCCTGTTACTACAAAGCCTCTCGAAGTCCTGCCTGTTCATTCTGCTCCCAAGTGCAACCGCCCTGTGGCCCTGTGTGGCCTGCGATGTCCTCTTCCCCAAGTTGAGAGTATATGTGAGTAATAAGCTGTCGCCAATCACATTTGTCCAGTGTTAGTTGTTGTCAAGCATCTTGTACAACTTAGGGCCAGAGATTGCTCCTTCAGCAATAGTATGATTGGGAGAATGAGAATATTAGCATGCCCTTGTCATCCAGTTTAACTCTCTCCATGGCCTCCAAAACATGGAATATGATTTTCTTATTCTATGCACAACTGCTTCCTGTCTGTCCACTGGGCTGTGAGCTGCTGGCCCCCTACTTCCCAGCTCAAAGAAGGCATTGGGCACAGAGATATTAACTGCCTTGCCTCACTGGCACACAGGAGAAGAGTTGGTTGATGCTTTTCCAGGAATTATGTGAGTTGGGGAGGGGGGACGGTTAACAAAGCCATTACTAAAAATTAAATTATACAAATTTGCAAGTAAATACATTATACAGGTTGAATATCCCTTATGCTTGACGCCACAAGTGTTTGAAATTTAGGGTTTTCTTCAGATTTTCAAATATTTGTATCATATTCACCAGTAGCTTATCTCTAATCCAAAAATCCAAAGTCTGAAATGCCCCAGTGAGTGTTCCCTGAAATGCACCATGTTGACACTCAAAATGTTTTGGCTTTTGAAGCCCTTCTGGATTTAGGACTGTTTCAGATTATAGATGTTCGACCTGTATTAGAAATAGGAGTTTAGGCTTGGCGCCTGTGGCTCAAGTGGCTAAGGCACCAGCCACAAACACCTGAACTGGCAAGTTCGAATCCAGCCCGGGGCCTGCCAAACAATAATGACGGCTGCAACCAAAAACTAGTTGGGCATTGTGGCGGGCGCCTGTAGTCCCAGCTACTTGGGAGGCAGAGGCAAGAGAATTGCTTGAGCC